TTTTCCTATCAGGATCCTATCGGAAGCCTCATCTCCTGCCACTCCTCTCAGGCAGAGAGTTCCCACACCTCCATGCCTTTGTTCAAGCTCCTCCCTCTGCCTGGCTGCCAGGCCCAGCTCTTACCCCCCACTCTCACCTCCCACCCAGCTGGGACGGCCCAACCGGAAGCTGCTGTCTCTGCTCGGAACTCCTGGAGGTTTACTGCCCACCTCCAGGCACCAACCAGCCCCCGGGCCCACGCCTGTCTCCACGCTTCACAGATGTTCCCAGAGGCAGAGGCAGCATGTGCCTAGGCCACACGGTCCAGATGCCAACACAGCAGGGCTTGGCAAGGTCTCTGAGTACCAAGGGTACTGCAGCGGACCTGGGAACCAACTGCTCCAGCGGCCTGCTTGTTTGACCACCCACCTCCAAATGGGTTGGAGTTAGAAATGCAACCCGCTCCAGCATTCTTGACTGGGAAATCCCATAACAGAGAAGCTTGGCGGGCTGTGGCCCATAGCATCGCAGAATCAGACATGACTGAGCAACTGAATATGCATGCATGCACCCCAAATGGGCAGGGCCCCGATGGGGACTGGTCAGAGAATTCAGCAGCACAGAAAATCATGTAAAGGACCAAACAGGCCCCAATATCAACAACCTCAAGCACATGTGCAGAGTTTGTTCCTCCACCCAAGACTCACATCAGTGTTACATGCCTTGTTTTACAACGCGGCCCCCAACACGCTAAGCACCCTGGCCCACACAGTCACCCCAGTGGGCCTGACTCAGCCCGACACCCTTCCCTCTGCATCAGGAGGTGTCTCTGTGCACCTGGAGCCCTCGAGTCCCAGGATCAAGCCTCAGGGAAGAAGGAGTGAATGGGCTGCAAAGCAGAGTTTTGGAGAGGGGTGGCCTGACTCTACCAGCTCCGTGGGAGGTTTGGCCTGGGGACACTAGAGGTGGACACAGGGGCAGGATGGACACCAAGAAGTGGTATGATCCGTGCTCTTCAGGGCACGTGTGAAAAGGTCAAGACCAGAACCTGACCTCAAGGGACGGGCCGAGGAAGAAGCAAAGGGGAACCAGGACCGAACAGGTGCTGTGAGCCAGGCTGGCACAGAGAAGGGAAGCTGCCAGCCCTAACCAGATCCTCGCCTATTCAGAGCTGGTCTCGGGTGCTCTGTCTGTGGGACGCGTCCTAGGTGTCTAATGACAGGGCAGGGCACGGTGAATCAGGACATCCTGGAGCTCAGGGCTGGCACAGACCTAAGAAAGAGGTAGCCTGAACCAACCACACACCTGAGACTTCACTACTTTCATGTCATCTCCCAATGCTGGTTGTCTTGCCTCTGCTTGGATGCTTCTACGGAAGGGCAGCTCAATACTTCACAAAGTAGCTTCATATTTAACCAGAATGTTTAAAAAAATCTTAAAAGGATCTGACCTTTTTGAGCTTCAATTTCCCTACCTATAAAAAGAAAAGCTGGGACTGGGTCACTAGCCTTCCAACTGGGTTCCATAGAGCCCTAGGTGTTAACTCTTTAACACCTAGGTGTTATCTCCAGAGCTGCTGTTGGGGTGAGAGAGGTGATCAGGACAGAAAGTGAGGTCCAGGCGTACATGGGTTCTGAGGCTCCATGGAGACCTGAGCCTCCATTTGGGGGCCACAGCCTAAATCCTGTGGGTGACACCAAGGGGGCCAATGGGAGGGGGTGAGCTGAAGCAGACGAGAGGGACGTGGGCAAGAGGAGCCCCCGGAAAACGGGCCTGCTGCTCCACGCACGCCATCCTGGCTGCGGCCAGTGGGCTGGGCTGAGCTCTCTGCTCACCAACTCACACCTCCCCAAGCTCTCTACCGCTTGCTGCACACTGCCAAGACTGCGGAGAACAAACCTTGCCAGTTAATCACAGGCCACATGGGCCATGATGTGGAGTCTGAAAGCCAAGCTGCTCGGACCCTGGAAAGAAGTCCTGCGTAGCTGAAAACAGGGTGTTGCGGACAGCACCCTCAACTGACTAGCTGGCTGTGCTGCCTTGGAGCAATTACTTAATACCTCTGTGCCTTAGTTTATCAGGGCAGTGGGCACCTACACTTCAGAGAGTAATGGTGAAGATCCAGTGAGAATTCACACCAAGTGCTGTAAACAAGTATGAGAGCGTTTGGCCGTGGCCTCCGCTGCTGCTGCTGCTATTACTGACCCATCCTTCCGTAAACCAGGAAAAACAGAGTCACAGAACAAGCTGCTCAGGGTCAAAACAGCTAGTTCACAGCCAAAAGCAGCTACAAGCACTACTGACTGTCCACTCTAAGGCTACTGCTTCTCAGCGGGAACCTGAGGCCCACTTGGTGGCAAGCGGCCACCCCGGATCTGCTTGACATCAGCCTGGTCTCCTTTCAGACCAGTGCAGAGAGGCACACCATCTCAGGCAGAGAGGCCATGCTCGTCCCAGGAGCGTTATCGTTACATACCAAAGAGGCCTGCCCCATTCACAGAAGCTACGTGCACTCACACACATAAATGTCACAGCATCAGAATAAAAGAAAGGCCACCCTGAAAGGGTGAATGTAACCTGTTCCGTGCCAGCCCTTGCTCGGCTGCCGTCCCCGGCACCCACCTCTGTCACCTTTCCTCCCCTGCGAGCTTCACGGCAGCTGCGCGAGCTACTTCCTGCAACGCTGACACGGTGCTGGCTAACCCAGCCCCCAGCCCCGCCATCAGTCACTGCGGTGATGGTGATGTCACACGCAAAGAATTCCAAGTCAAAGAGAGCTGCTGCAAGGTCGTTACACCCAGAAAATGTCCAGTTCCCCCGCATTTCCTTAAAAACATAAAAATGTGGGTAAATTTGAGCATAGTCCCCAAGGTACAAAGCAAGCACAGAGCAGAAAATAGAAGGATGCTGCTTTGCAGAGATAGCGCCTGAGATCTTAACAGGTTTCTGGTAAACTCAAACTGCCCTGCGTTGGGCCTGGCCCCTGTGGGTGTGCCTCATTAAAAAGCCAAAGTCCCTCAGGACAATTCCACCCGGCAAGTCGGCTCCTCACCGCTGCGGTCAGCGGCAGCACCCAGGAGGAGCCCGGCTCCACTCCAAAGACGCTGAGCAATTGTAGACTCTCCCCGGAGTCTGGCTCTCGGCAGATGCTCCCACCCACCCCTGTCAGCTCCCCGCCCCCATGTTCTGAAGATGCAAGTCTGGATCTGTAATACCTTCTCCCTTTTCTGCTGGTGGGACCCCAAGGAAGTGACTTGTCCAGAGTCTCCATCACCTGTGAAATGAGACAACACCTCCTTCGCAAGGACACGGTGAGGCTTAATGAGCATGTATGTCAGAGTGCCCACAGAGGCTGCTCTGCCAAGAGAGACCAGGAAGATGGGAGAGGGCATAAGAGGCGGCCCTCGAGAGTCTGACCAGTTGCTTCCTGCCTCAAGCCCTTCACAAAGCAGCCAGCTGCTCTGGAGCCTACACAGGTAGCCAGAGAACTGCTTTCCGTGATCAGGAGAAACAGGAGGCAGAGTCCTGGAAGCAGGGCCTGGACTCATACCCAGATTCTTCAGCAATCATCCTAGAGCGTCTCCGCAGCCAGAGAGCAAACATGCAACACAGGCCCAGCGTGTGCTAAGAGCTCAGTGACCGGTGCTTCCTTTCCCTTTCTCCTCCTCCTCCCCCTCCTTCTTCTTCTCCGCAGTATGTTCTTTTATTTTTTATTTTACTCTTCGGCCACACCACATGCAGGATCTTAGCTCCCCAATCAGCGGAAGCACAGAGTCTTAACCATTGGACTGCCAGGGAAGTCCCTCCCTTCCTCCTTTAAACTCAGAAGGAATCAGGAGACCGTGCTCAAAAACAGGAACACCAAATAAACAGTAAGAGGGTCACAGGAGGAGGCACCTGAGTCCCGAATCCTGAGACATACAGGGCATCAACTCAACAGGACCCAGAATTCAGGGCCACCTGCCCACGGTCTGCGGTACATGGTGCCCCTGCTCACGTCGCTGTCCTGCTCAGGGCCAGAGCAGGCCAACCCACAAGTGTCCTTCCATGCCTGGACCATCCTCCTGAGCCAGCGGGACCCTCGGGGGGGTTCTCCCCTGCGGTGATCTCCCTACCACCCGCCCACGCCTGGGGTCTGTCAAGACGGCTGCTATCTGATATCTGTTCATTCTTTAAAGATGCTCTGGAACTTCCCTGGTGGTCCAGGGACTATGATTCTGCGCTCCCCACGGCAGGTGGCCCAGTTCGATCCCTGGTCTGGGAACTTGATCCCACATGCTGCAACTAAGGATCTCATAAGTCTCACAAAGACTGAAGATCCCACATGCCACAATTAAGACCCAGTGCAGCCAAATAGACATTTTTTTTTAAAGATGTTCCAAGTATTATTCTGGTGAAAACAGACCCCCTAGAATACTACAGACCCAGCCACATTCTGCTGGGCCCCACAATGCTGCTCTGACAGGTTTCATCATCAAGGGCCAATAGGAAAACGGTTATAGGGGAAAAGTCTCTGTGTTTTCCTATAAACCTGCCACAAAGACCACGGTGCTTTGAGCTGCTTCCTGTCCTAAAACAAAGATTTTCTTGGTTGGGGGCAGGGATAACTTTGTCCTTAATGACCTAATCTGACCCCTTCTACTAAGTAATAAAAGCAAGGTAACCCGGCCTGTTTCTCTTATTGCCCTGGTTGCTAGGAAGCTCCAAGCTTTCCATCTCAAAAGTTGTATATCTTTTTTCAACTAGAAATTCCTAAGAGAAACTCCCCCCACCTCCCCACTTACTTGTTTCTCTCCTGATAAACTGTACTTAGTACCCTGCTATCTCTGGACGGTCACTGTGCCCTGTCGGGTTCTTCCCGAGGTTAGTGAAACCTGAACAGATAACCTGTGGCAAAGATTCAACACAGTGCCAACCGCCCAACCACCACCTCCAAAGCACACACCCTCCCCTGCAGAGGCGGGCGGGTGACCACGTGACCCATCCACCTCCCCTCGGAGTTGTAAGAGTCTGTGCTTACCAGTCATGATCCTCTGGGCCTCATAGGGCTCCATGTAGCCTGCGCTCTCTCCCTTTCCTGCTTTGCTTTTGAGATCATTCTTGGCATCAAAGGGATCCGAGTAGTCATCAGCGATGGTCACCTGCAGGGAAGATGGCAAGGGTGTGAGTCCACCTGTGGCTTCCTACTTCACTTCTGTTCACAGCCAGGCTTTGCTCCAACAAATATAAACCGAGTCTGTGCCAGATGGGCAAGGGAGGGGAGGTGGAGGCAGGAGTCTGAACTGGCGCCCACCAGCAGGGAGCTCTGACTCTTGCAGGGGGACCAGGAAACCCACGTTGCCGTGCTCCATCCTGAGGGAGGGTCCTGGGCCTGCACGGGCAGGACCGCTGCTCCAGGCACAGTGACTCAGAACAGAAGCACAGAGGCAAGAACCTGGAGGGTGTCTTCGGGGGTTGTGACTTGCTAAGGGTAACGGAATGAATGGAAACGGAGGAAAGTTGGAAAGCAGCTCGCAGAAAGCCCAGAAATGCTGACATGCTCCTGGCGCTGGCTGAGGCAGAGAAGAGCTTGTCTCGAGATAATTATGTCCAGCGTTCCACTTTCCCAAATCTGGAACACAACCATGCCTTGGGTAATCAGACAACAATTTGGTGAGATCAACGCTCTGCAAAGATGACTGCGGCCCCAGCCGGGCCTGGTGAAAACACAAGAGCAGCTCGGGGATGCCAGGCAGACTGGCCAGACTAAGGGCAGCAAGGGCCTTGGAAGCCACACATCAGAAGACTCTCCTGCGACAGATGGGGAAACTGAGGTCTAGAGCGGGCGGGGGCTGAACCGAGACCCTCTGCTGGCTCCTCTGCCTCCTTCCTGGACTCCTCACTTGTCTGTATCCCAGAAAACAACAAAAGTTCCACAACAAACAGAGCAGTCACCTGGGGCAGCCAGGGGAGTCCCGAGACCATAAAAAAAATCTGAGTTTTGAAAACTTCACAGCTTTCTCTTTTCCCAGGAGAAGGGTAAAAATTCCCAATTGCAGGCTCAGAGCAGACACAGAGACTTTTCCTCTCAGTGGAGGTGCCCTCGCCTTCAGGAGGGGCACCCTCACCAGAGGGGAAAGCACAGGTCCCTTTTCCACGCATACTCACTCCACCAAAACTCACTGTGACTTGGGCTCCTTTGGTCCCACACCTGGCAAAGGCCAAGTCCTCAGCCTCCTAGCCAGGGCCACCCAGCTGCCTCTCTCGGGAGGAGGGGGGCAGGTTGGCCTGTCTCTCAACCCTTGGGGTTTCATGAATTGTTATTTAAATTGTGAGTTTAATTAGAAACCACAGGAGCCTCCACTCTCACCCAGCTCCTGGAATGTGAGGCATTTGAGGGGCCTGTAAACCCGGGGGAAGGGAAAAATCCCCCTTTGTCTGCCGGGGAAGTGGCAGTTTGTGGCAGCAGCCCTGGCCGGGTGAGCAGAGTGACCTCCGGCTGCCCGGAAGGTGATGCCCGCAGAAGGACCGCGGGCAGCTGCCCTGTCTCCTGCGTGTGACCAGGAGGGCCGGCGGGAGGCATCTCACAGAGGAGTCACTGCTCGCTGAACAAGGGCAGGCTTATCTGTGAAAGACCCAGGGCTGGAGCACCGTCTGAGCACGTGCGGGGCCGGCTGCCACCGCTCCGAAGCGGCTGTGGGTCAGGCTCGAGTCCCAGTGGGGGTGCGTCCAGATGCTGACACTGCAATCGTGGCCTTTCTGGGGACTCCCGGAGCTCAGATGACATTGGGCAGGGACAGATGGGGGAGAGGAGGTAGCCTTCCTCTCCTGTCGTGTCTTCCGTATGATATTTCTACTCTACCATTTGCAGGACACACGAGGAAGAAAATTAGACACGTGAACCACTGTCCTACAGCACAGCTCAGATGCAGATCTGGGGCGCGTAGGGTTTTGGGTCTCAGAGTTCAAGGGGCCAGAGTCCAATGGAGAAAATGATGAACCTGCAGTGGATGACAAGTAATCTCATTTCTCTCGTCCTCACCTTCCTCGCAGTCTCTTTTCTTCGTGAATACCCTCCCGACTATTCTGCAACGAGGAAGGGAGCAAATATTTCCCCAAGAGAACAAAATCACTTTGGGGGGGGGGGGATTAGCTGCGGAGGGTGCTGGGCTGCGTAATCTAGAAATCAACATTCTGGCTCCTCCCGGAAGTGCTCAGTAATTTGCAAACACGGAGGCAAGCAGGATACAAACCAAATCTTTGTTCGCCCTGGGACTGGAGCTCTGGGAGGCCTTTGGTTCAGCAGGCGCTATCTGTATTTTCTAATTAAAATGAGATCTGAGCTCAGGCTGTCACGGAGGCCCTCAGGCTGCCTGCCCTGCTTGCTTCCGTTTCAATAAGAATTTACAAATCCTGAAACCAGGGAAAGCTCCTGGTCTCTGCTGACATGTGGTTCTAGTTATACCTGCTGACAGTTGAAAATCCTTCCGTTTACAAAAAAAAAAAAGTTTAGAATTCTGTTAGTTTAAGAAGCAAATCGGAAGGTTCCTAAAACGTATAATATTTAATCAATTTCCTTTCAAACTTCAAAGTAAGGTTGGTAGAGGGGAGGGAATTTGAGGTTTAAGCAACGAGAAACTCGGCAAACACTCACTGAGCTGTCTGACCTTTCACAAAATCACGTCCTGGTTTTTGGAGTAAAAATTTAACCAGGAGTTAGGAGAGTTGAGTGGGGAGCTTAGCCATGCAATGTACCACTGGCCTCAAGGGTGGCCACTATCCCAGCTGCCCAGGGACACTGCTTTGCTTTCAAACACCCCCGTCAGTGGACAGGTATCTTAAACGTAAACAGTTTAAGCAAAAGTGAGCCAACCGGGACCCCTCTGGAGGTCAGGCCACTCAGGTATACAAGAAGCTTTCCTCGATTTTGATCTTGAATCGGCAAACACCCGGCAGGGCGCTGGACCCTTCAGATGGCCTGCTTGCCTTACCGGGGCAGGTGCAGAGCTGAGAGAGGAGCCCAGGCCACAGGGCCCGCCGCTCCCCCGGGGAGGAGAGCGGCAGAAAGACGGCTGTTGAGCGTGGCTGCCTAACACATCTTCTTTCACTGTTCTGGCCTCCTGGGATGGGCGTACCGCCTGCCCCTCTCTGAGAAAAGAAGCCAGGTATGGTTAAAACCCAGACAAGCCTTTTCTCGCTTTCAAACAAAACTGCAGATGCCCAGGATAGCCAGTGGCCCTGAAAGACTTTCACAGGCTTATAAAGCGGCGACGCTGGAGCGGGGCGCAGGGGTGCCGCTGTCCTCAAGAGCCCTGTCCCAACCTCCCGTTTTCGTACATGGCCTACAGCAGTCCCTGTGGCTCAGACAGTAAAGAATCTGCCTGGAGTGCGGGAGACCCAGGTTCGATCCCTGGATGGGGAAGATCCCCTGCAGAAGGAAACGGCAACCCATTCCAGTATCCTTCTCTGGAAAACCCCATGAACGGAGGAGTCTGGCAGGCGACAGTCCGTGGGGTCGCGAAGAGTTGGACACGGCTGAGCGACTTCACTTTCCTTTCCTGTCCACAGCAGTCCAGAGGATTCCAGAATCCCAGCACACTCAGTGCCTCTCTGACAAGGCTCTGGAGTGAGCTCCACAGGCCTCCTTTCTGCTGTGCACACACTGCTGGGTGGAACTGGTCCGGCCCTGACAGCTGTCTGAAGCCTGGGTTTTCCTGAGGATTTAGCTTCATGATAGGAGGTAGTCTTTCAATTCACCCCCAAAGGGAAGCACTGGAGGAAGTGGGTGTCTCCGCCTGGCCACAGGCCCACAGGCTTTGACGAGACAGTGGCACCGTATGGGGAACCGGTCCTCTCTCTCCACAGGCGCTGGGTGGAAAGATAAACGGGAGAGCCACTGTGAAGGTTAACTTTGGGCAGAATCCACTAAACTCCAAAAGTGACCCAACAGTTCCGCTTCTCTGTATTTATTCCCAAATGTGCACAGGGAGACTTGGCAAAGACGTTCAGTAAAGCAAGTGATAAAGAGAAATTTCAAGAACCTTCTATGTCCATCAATAGGGGAAATGCTAAACAAACCGTGCCAGTTTCTACTAAGGAATATTATGTTTTAGATTAAAAAAAAAAAAAAGCAGTCACTCTAACTCTATATGCACCAACACTGTGCTCCATGACATAGCTTCGAATAGAAAGAAAGCAGGTTTTAGAATGATAAATACAAGATGATACCTATTTATGAAAATTAAACAGAAACTTGTATCTCTATTTAACCTAACAAAAATGTCTGGGGAGACAGACTCTTCAAACTGACACCTCCTCCAGGAGGAGGGAGGGACCAGGATGGGGTGATGAGAGAAAATAAAAGGAGACTTGTCTGTAATATTAATACATTTTTCAAATAAGAAAAACTTATTACTCAATTATATGGAAAACTAAATTTTCCAAAGCACTCCTCTTCACAGGTTATTTTTGGTAGAGGAGATAAACTACTTAAACTAGCCTGAAGATAGGCGTGGCCTGGAATCCTTGTTTTATAAAACCCAGATTCCTAGCCCTAATAACTTGTATATTTAATAAGTAACCCAGGTGATTCTTATGAGTAAAGTTTGGGAAATCTTAAGTTAGAGCCAGCCCCCTCGCCCACCAATCTAAAGCTAAGCCTCTCGATATGACTCTGGAATTCCACTTTTCCCAGATGTTTCTCAGCCTTGTTCATTAAAGTGAAGCAAGAAGTCAGTGTAAAATGCAGCTCTCTCCTGCTTTCTTCCCTGGGGGTTAAGTGGAGTAAGAGATGATCCAACACACCTTGGTCCATCTCCAGGATCCAAGATGCAGGAGTGATGGCATCCTCTGTGCAATCCTGAGGGCTGGTCGGATTGAGCAACATGCCTGACCCTGCCCTGCCCCCTGAGGGGAGCCAGGGCCGAAGCTGGGCCTGGCTGTGAAGATGGGCAATGCTCTCTGTTCAAAGCACAGATCCTTTCAGAACAAGACTACTGCTCAAACTCTCCAGGAAGGTTACCTGGCTCCAGGGAGGGCTGGTGGGACTGTGGAGAAGAGCTGAAATGCACAGGCGTCCCTGCTAAAAGCACGCAGGCCTGCTGAAAAGAAGGGACACGGGACGGGCAGCTCCACCCTCCAGGAGTGGGAGGCCTGTGCTGTC